AAGATAGAAAGGTTAGGAAGCTTATGTTGTCCCAATAGTCTTATATTAAGAAAGTCTTTAAGAGATTTAACTCGACAGGTGCTAAGCCTGTGTTAGTTCCTTTTGCTTCTCATTTCAGGTTATCTGCAGACTTATCACCAAGGACAGAAGAGGAGTTGGAGCATATGTCAAGTGTTCCATGTTCAAATGCAGTGGGTAGTATCATGTATGCTATGGTCTGCACTCGTCCTGATATTTCACATGCTATTGGTGTTGTGAGCAGAAACATGGCATGTCCTGGAAAGGAACATTGGCAGGCAGTGAAATGGATTATAAGATACTTGAAGGGTAGTGCAGATGTTGGTTTGACATTTGACAAAGCCAAGTTGAATGATTCAGTGGTTGGCTATGTTGATTCAGACTATGCAGGGGATTTGGATAAGAGAAGATCTCTGATAGGTTATATTTTTACTCTTTCTGGTAGTGCCATTAACTAGAAAGTGACTTTGTAGGGTGTTGTTGCATTGTCCACTACAAAGGCTGAGTATATGGCAGTTACAGAAGTAGTGAAAGAGGCTATTTGGCTACAGGGTTTAGTTAATGATCTTAGATTAACTCAGAAGCAAACCTCAGTATTTTGTGACAATCAAAGTGCCATTCATCTTACCAAGAACTAGAAGACCATGAGTGGTGGAAGCATATTGATGTCAGGCATCATTTTATTTGAGACATTATATCACAAGGTATTGTTGATGTGAAGAAAGTGTCTACACATGATAATCTAGTTGATATGATGACTAAGGTAGTCCAACTAACAAGTTTAGGCATTGCTTAGACTTGATTGGTGTGAGCAGTACTTAGTAGTGCCCTTGTGAGGGGTTGTGTGCAAGACAGAGTGGCATTTTTCTCTTGTTAATGGAGAGGATTCAAGCCAAGGGGAAGATTTGTTGACTTTGTGGCTTGAATTTGTTGGATCTGAGTTTTGCAAACCCGACCTGAAAGATTTTGCAAGTGCGACCCGAATTGGAGAAAAAATGGGAATCTGTATTGGGAGTGGAGGGCTCGGGCACCCCCCGCGGTATGGACCTTTTGTATTTTTTCTTTTCTAAGGCCCATTTTGTTTTATGGTCTAGTAGGATTTGGGAACACTTTTATGTTTTCTAGAGTTTGGAATTGTACGGTAGACTAGCTTGGCTGCTTGTACTCGTATTCTCTTTCATAGTGGAATTTTCTAGCTCTGCTCCTGCTCGAGGACATAGGCTATTCTAGCTGAACCTCGTTAAATCCTTGTGTTATTTTCTTCTTTATTCTTGTTAGTTTGATTGTGTTGCAACAATGTAGCTATTCACGATGGGTGAGATTGTTTTTCATTGATGAACTACATTTGACAACTCTGGGCTTTCCTTTAAGTTCATTTTTGTTAAGAATGTCTCCTCATCCTCTCTAATGGTAGATATTTGATATTTCTTAAATTCCAAATTTTAACCCTCTAGTTGTAAATGTGTAGATGGTTTGGCAATAATGACTTAGCTGTGAAATTTAGAAGAAGAGTAGTTGGTTAACTCCTTACCGCAATTACGTTGTTGGACTATGCACTCAGGCTTAAGTGATTAAAATGAGTGTTTAGGAATAGAGGTTAAAGTCTTCGTTAGGGGTCTCATTGAGAAGTTATATGTGAGTTCCTAAATCGATATTATCTGTTAAATGAATAGGCTTTTGAAACGATTGCTATGCGATATTGAGGATCACGGGCTAATATAATTTCTAATAACGTTGCTTACAAGACTTACAGTGAGTAATAATATGTGTTTTCATGCATTTTACAAGAATTATAAATTTTCATATGTTCGTATTATTATTTTAATGCATATTACTTATGTTATGCAAATGATGAATGTACTTTTATGTGTTGAGCGAAATTGTGTTCTACACGAAATGATTGAAGATGAAGTAAATTTGTTAACATCTTAGAATCTCTATATTTGTTAATTCGGGGTACTATAGAAATGGAGGTAAGTAAGGATGGTGGTAAATGGGTAGAGCGATAAGCAGGAATGGTGGTTGTATGCCCGCTTGTGATTCTCGCTTGAGATTCTTACCTGTAGTGCCTTGGCATGTGTTTCTTCTGTTATATATACGTATGTATATATGGGTAATGTTTATATAATTACGTGGTGTCCATGTGGTCATATGATGCTTCATTCATATATGAGTTGTGTATCACTTATACTACAAATGATGTGCAATGATGATGTTTCCTAGTTTTAAATGTACGATTGCTTAATCATAAAAACATATACCTCCTTTACGTTTTTCTAAAACTTGAATACACTTATTATTACTCATTGAGGCATGATCTCACCCTTTCATTCCCCCCCCCCAAATTCCAGAGCTGATCCCACCGCCGGTCCTCCCCAATGACTTGTAGTGGCTCCTTTTGGTGAGTCCCACATGCACCAATGTTTGTGTGTGGGCAATAGGTTTTGCTACTTTATTTTGCACTATCTATAATGGTGTATGTGTATTTTGGAATCCAATGTAATTAGAATGTTTCGATTGCCACGGATAAGAATTTTATCATTTTGGATTTCATGTTTTGTAGTAGCTTTGGGACTCAAGTAAATAACTCAATTGTTTTTGTGGTTCCAAAACTAAATAGTTACTTGATTGTTGGCTTGTATAGTTATGTCGTGTTATGTCAATCTTATTGCTATTTGTTATATATAAACTGCCTGGTGATCTTCTGTTGAAAGCAAGTGTCCTTGATTCAAGTTAGGAATTTTGATAGATTCCAATTTTTAGGAGAGACTCTGTTAAAATTTCTATAAAATTTTCTTACTCGATCACATCATTCCTATTCATCATCAAGACTTGCCAAGGATAGGCTGCTCATCCTCACACTGGTCGCGACTCTCAAGATGGGGTCGTGACAAATTCAACTCAACTTCCTGCCTAAATGGATAAATAACCACACCAACAATCAAATAACTTGCTTCATTAGAAATCTAGGTGACAACAGGAGCAGCACTAGACCTTGTGCCCCCACCCATACTTGCTATTATGAATAGAAGATTTAAGCCTTTAAGGGTATCTGCAATGGCTTTCTTTGATTCCTCTGCAACCTACTCCATTAGAACTGGATTCTAATCAATACTTGTAACTCTGTAAATACTGTTGGAACTCATTTAACAAACCATGAATTATAGCATGTAACAATTCCTGAGATTTATCAAAGTAAAGATTTAAGATAATAATTGTTTCATCATAGCCTATTGTCTGGTATAAGGTTACAAACTGGCTTTTGCATTCCAAATACAACATAATACAACCATATTCCAAGTCTAGAGTTATTATATACCAGAGTTACCAACTATTATCAGAAGCAAAGTAGTCATACTCCAAGTCTATGCTCTTGGGAAAAGATACTTTACATGGAAATCAACAGAAGTCAATTGTCTAAATTGCAATTGCATAACATGTAGCTCATGAGCAATAGAATCTAATCAAATATTCAGATGATTTATGCGCACCATAAATTGTTAACTAATTTCTCTTTTTTTTTTTAACTTTATTTCCCTATTGTCACCTTCAATGATCAAAATAAAAAATAATAATATGAAGAGTTCAATATATTGCAAAAACCAAGTTCTAGACCAAAGTTCAATATATTACAAAAGCCTTTGCCCTTTGCAACATTTTCATGAGTACTAGGAGAATGTAACAAGAACAAAGCCTAAAAGTAAAGATCCTCAAAAGCATCAGACAACCTTGGACTTGAATTACATTGTTTTTTGCCCTATGAGATGCCTGAATAAATCACATCAACTCTGTTACAATTCACAAGGCCATGGTTGCTTCAATTTTGCATTACACTAAACATGCATTTTCTCTTGCTTTCCCTTGTTTAAAACCGATAAATTCGTAAAACCCATTACTCAAATTACCAAAACAAAAACCAAAATGTCATTGGCTTCTCTTTCTTGACATCCATGCCCTCTAATATGGGTCAAACAAGCATAATTAACCGAGCTCACAAAACCTCGAGTGAATAAAGAGCAAACCATAAACAAGAAGAAAAGCAACCTCTAAAATGTAACATAAGCCAGATGGAATAAGAAGAATAAAACAGAGTAGAGATGATCAACTCAACCATTTAAAACCAACTGACTAAAAAAAAAATCCACCTAAGCTACAATATTTCAATAGAAAAAACCAAGCCTAGATTGGTTCTCTGGTTCCAAAAATTAGCAACAGGAAGCATTCAAAATAGGCAAAAAAGCTGTGAGAAAAGCTCGAATCGGGAGAATTACAAGAAATTGAAAGAAGAAGAGAGAGCGCCATGGTGTTTATGCGTTTAAAAGAATTTAAAAATAGAAAAAAAGTGAGAAGAAACGCAAACAAAAAGGAAATGGAATGGAGGATGACTATCCACAAAGATTAAGTGAAGGGCGCCAGCTATAAATACACGTGACCCCAATTATTGGCTTGGGTATACCTATTAGTAATACCCGGAACACTGGAGAATGTAGTAGCTAGCTACCTATTTTACTAGACTTTGGGCCGTCCACTACCACAAAGTTTCATAGATTTCATAATAGTCGAGAAATGGTTACCAAATATATGCCTATTTGTGGAGTAATGGAGGATAAATAACTTTATTGGGTGAGAATGGAAACAAAAAGGAAAAGCTACTTTCCTGGGATAAGGCTCTCCACTAGCGCAGAATAATGATCACGTGCTTTTTTTTAAATTATCTTTAGATGGGAAATGACTACATACTTCAAAGGGGGGAAATTGACCACTTTCAAAACAAGAAGGGGCAGATTGATACGTTTTGGGAACTCAAGGGAGATAAGTGAAATTTACCCTCCTTTAAAGCACAAATTAATATTTATATTAGCAGAAATGCAACATTGACACGTTAGGCAATGTTGAAACCTAATCGAGGAGTACACAACTGGAAAAGCCTTAAAATAACCATACAAGTTTATTTTCTTTTATAGTCTTCTACTACTATATATCTAAGAATTAACCACCCGACAATTCTTCCTGATCTCTCCACTTGAGCCTGTCAAAACACTTATGTTTCCCATCTTAATCATGGAATTGGCAAAGTCACTAAGGAAGAGCATGGGGTTACTGCTATATAGCTCAACCAAGCTCTTGGTAGTGTTTGCAGCCTCATCACTAGAATACAAGATCTGGTCCGATGAAAGTAGGCCCTTCCTATTGAGCAAGTTCTGGAAGTAGTGGTTATCGAACAAGTCGGTGGAGTTGCGATCAAGCGGGGCTGTGTTGTTCCCATCTCCAGTGGTGGGACACCGGCTTTGTAGGTCAGCCACCATGCCTGCATCCATTGTAGGATCCGCTCCGTTAGTCGCTGAGAAGTTGTACAGCCTGTTGCTGAAAAGGGCACACCTTGCTAACCCAATAGTATGGGCACCTAAGCATAACCCAAATAGATGTAAGTTCAGTTAGCCACATGACCATAATTTGTAACTTAATTAAATATGAAATTTTAATATGATCTTGGATTGCCATCTAAATTCACTATAATTGGATGAAGGGCAAGTAAGGTTTTTGGTCCTATAATTTTGTCCTAGGTCCATTTTTATTTTAGTGTTTTCAAATATAATAAACTTTGTACTGAAATTTCCCGAAGTGTATTAGGTCATGACAATAACTACATGGGTTAACTTTCCTCCCAACTCACTCAAATTACTTTTCACATATTATAAGTAATTAATTATTGACAATTAACTTATAACCCCTCACCAGCACCCCGTAAAATTAGAAATAGGGATGTAATAAGACAGTTTGAATTAGGTTGACATATAAAAATGTCAGACTAACTATAAAAATTATTAGATTGAATCTGATTTAGCCTCTAATAGGTCAAAAGCTAGTCTTAACTTAATTTGTTTGTAAAATAAGTAAGGCCTAATTTGGCTTATTAACTTATTAGACTACATCTATTTAAATTATAAAATTACATTATATATTATATTGTATCATATAAACATATAATTTATAATATAAACCAATCTGTTAAACTTATAAATCAGGCCAAACATAATTTGAATCAAGTTTGTTTAAATAAAAAGGTTAATTTCTTAGTTAGGACATGTCTTAATTTGATAAATGAACCAAGTTATGCCAAAATAGATTGAAGTTACAGATAGGTCACAAAAGACCTGACTTATTTTCACCTTTAATTGAAAACATGTTTCCATGTCAAAGGAGCTATGTCCCAATGTCTAGAATTTTTCACACTTATAAAATTTTGGAGCTAAATGTTTTACAAATAAAACTACACCAACCAAAATAACACTACGGCTACCAAAATTTGATATTTAGTCATTGTAAGCAAGAACTGTTAAGAATAAATAAATTCATGAGGTAAATTAAAGCTACAATGTTTCTTATGCATAAATATAAATATTTACTTGTTTCAGTATATGTACCTGAAAGGATCACAACGTCAGTTTGATTTAGGCCCACTGCAACAAACTTGGCAGTGATGGCGACAACTGACTCAAAGGGAGAAGGAAGATTGTTGGCTTGTGTCTGGTTTGCCACCAGTCCATCCCTCCTTCCCAGTTGGACTTTCCAAGAACTTCCCCACTCTGCGCGTCATCATCACCACATAAATAATTTCATAATTAATAAATAAATACATGTTTAAACTTGTCCAAAGATTTTATTTTTAGACATAAATATTTTTATTTATATAAAAAAAAAAAAAAGACTTACTAAGACGACTGAATCTCGGGCAGCAATGGCTAGTATGTCGGCACAGGAAACAAGTCCAGGGCAAGCACTCTCCACTGCAGTTTTTATGTTGTCTACAACGTTGAATCCTCTTGCTGAATTTAGATTAGGTACAGCAAGCTTTTCACTGTCGTCTCCATCCAGCAGAACTGACCCATCGCAACCCTAATCACAATATTAAATAAATTAATCACAAATTTGATTAATACTTAATAATGAATTAATAATCATTGCTAGCTGCTGCATGCATTTTTGTTTAAGAAGATCGGTTTCTTCTTGATTTTCATGCAACGCATGCATTGGCAATTTTCAATTAATAATTTGCTATTTTATAATTTAATATTGTTGTTTCACATTTCCAGCTTAGATCTAAAATTAAATTATTCGGGACAAAATTAGAAAAAGTTAAAATCCTGTATGCTTCTTATTTTGATATTTCCAGTTTCTTCAATTAATAATTTTTTATTTTATAATTTAATATTGTTGCTGCAGATTTCCAGCATAGATCTAAAATTAAATTATTCGGGGGTAAAATTAAAAAAGTTAAAATACTTTTTCAAAAATAATTACATATAAAAAAAATTGAAAATTTTTTAACCATGTGGGGTAAGCACTCTCATTATAGATCCGTCTCTATCACATTATTGGACGGGATATGGATTGTTTGAGATTGGAAATAGATCTAATTAAAATAGCGGACATAATAAGTTCCGTTTTAAACAACATAACAAGTGGTAGACGACACATGTATACAGAGAAGCTTATTAAGAATACTCACGTTTACAAAGCAATCATGGAAGTGAAGACGAAGTAAAGATGCTGCCATTCGCGTCTCGGTTTTAACAGCATTTAGAACCTCTTTACGTACAATTTTCAAAAGATTAGGACATGAAGTTGAGTAGAAATCAGCAGATAACTGAGACCTCGTGACACTGCATGACATCAAGAAAATCAAAAGCATGGTACAACCACTAAAGCTGCTATGCCTCTTCATGGTTACTAGAAGAGCAAAATAGCTAGACAATATGCAGTGTGAGTCTAGTACAACGAGATGAGACGCTTGATAAAGCCATGCTAGCTTAATTTATATAGAAGAGTAAAGACTAATGAGTAAAAATTATAATTAATTTAATTAAAGATTAATGGGGGAATAAGGAAGCTAAGGCGGCTGCACGCACCTGCTGTTCACCCGCATTGAGAAAGTTGGAACGAGCATTTTAATTTCTATGCGCAACTTTGTAATTAGATAAAGAATTTTAACAGATTAGTGGGCTAATAGTGATCACGAGATGACAAAATTAAAATATGGGCAAGCCATGCAAGTTCATGAATGAGCAAATACTCAAGCGCAAAAGTGCTTGCAAAGCAATCTCATCTATGAGAGTTTGACGCACGTGGCTTCCACTAAGGCACGATTATATATGTTTTGTTTGTGAGTGCAGTCAGCAATAGCAATTTGAAATTTGGCTTCTTTTCATGCATGCGTATTTATATGATCAATTCAACATACTTGATTAGTTTTCTATTTGGCCTTTTTTTGGTTCTTAATGTGGCTTAACCAATCAACAACTAGTGCCGTGTTTGAGGGTATTATGATGTTGCTGGTTGACTTCCTGCCTGCACAGCAATACCACTCTTGCAAGTTGTTTCAGCCATCCATGGATTTTCATACATGCTTAATTAGCTAACCCTTTGATTGGTGACGAAGAGATGATATTTTATTTTTCCTTTTTTTTGGAGGACCAAAAAGAAAATGAGGTGTGAGATTATGCTACTGTAAGATACATAGTTTTTTTAATAGTTACTTTAATATACGTAGTTATCCCAAATTCTTTATTCTCTCTCTATTATTATTATTATTATTATTATTATTATTATTTTATTTTATTTTTTTAACAAAGGAGGTTGGATCCAAAAGAGGGATTTACTTAAGAGAACCATGGCAAGTATTAGCTCCCAAAGTATCACAATACGGCATCTCTTTTAACTAAACGAAAGGAACACTCATTATTTTACACCAAACTCGTGGGAGAGATTAATGTTGATTAGGAGGCGGGCATAAGAAAATAAGTCCACCCTCGGGAGAGAAAATATCAGTGTCTTGTGTCTGGTCTTTTGCTTTTTCAACAGGCAGTGGTTCTTCATAAAAGATTAGCTTCTCTCAGATCCCAATTGTAGGGTCATTTATGATAGCTGTAGGTGGTGACACACAAGAAAAAATAAAAATTAAGTTACCCTGTTTGGCATTTGAAGAGTATGTCGTCTTCACTGGAGTGATAATAAAACAAAATGAGTCAAAATAATAAAATGATGGATTTTGATACGTATTTTCCCTCAGTCAAAATTACTCATAGCCTTGTGCTTCTTTTGATTTGAATCCGAATTTGGAAAGAAGAAAAGAAGAGAAGATTAATTTCTTTTAACATAGAAAAAAAAACAAAAACAAAAAGAAAGACAATGAATTAATTCTTTCCTTGTTCAAATGGAAAAGATGGATGTATATTATTATCTCTTTCAATAGTAGATTTTTTTTTGAAAAAAAATTGATCTTAGAAAAATAAATTTGGATAAATTGGGTTTGGGACCAATGAGCTTAAATAAAATGGGTATGGAGAAAGTAAATTTTAATAAAATAAGTTTAAAAAAATGAAAAGATATCTAATATATTCAAAAATAAAATTTACCTATGAAATTATTTTTGTTACTTTTTCTTTATATATTTTTTTTTAAATAAAAAATTACATCGCATAAAGAGTTTGCATAAATCCTCCTGCACCGGCCCTGTTTGCTAGCTTGTTGGTCGCCAAGCCCGATTTGGCTAGGATAAATCTATGTAGAAAACCGAACAACGCCTAGTGGGACGTATTATTTAACTCTTTTCCACTCAATGGTTACTGGGAGTAATTTAACCATTTTAAAATTTTAAGTAAAAAACAACTGTCTTTTCTTTTCAAACCTCTTCATTTAAAAAAAAAAATATTATAAAATGGAGTCAAAATTGATACGAAATTTCTTTATCTTTCCTGTTTCTCTCCAATTCTCTTAAATTTTAATTCAAATAAATGATCTTAAGAGAAAATTTTCATTTCTACTCTTTTTTTTTTTCCCTTCCCCACTATTGTGGCTGGAAATTTCAACCTAAACCAATCAACCCAAAATTCATTAATTTTCAATGTGTCCAAAAACCAGTCCAAATTGTTATATAGATTAAAATGAATTAATTCATCTTGACTCATTTAATAGTTAGGCAAATTAATCACCTTCTATAGAAATCCTTGAGAGATTATTTTACTACAACAAACTTGTATATTATGACAGTTATATTAAGGTGAATATTGTTAACTGTCGTAATTTTAGCAAAATATAGTAGTTATGACAGTAGTTGATATAAACATCGTTTTATACTATTTAAATTATGGCAGTTTGGGTGAAAAAAGTGGTTAAATTACTTTTTTAATTATTTTCTTCAATATATTTATAATTATCATTTTATACATATTTTAATATTTTTGCTTCTCACCCTCCCCCCTACAACCAAGCCCCTTCCCTCTGGTCCTAGGCCCTAGTAGTCTCCCTCCTTGTGGACTATTGACCTCTAAACACCTGAGCCTTAAACCCCGAAGCCCTCACTTGCCTCCTCAAGCCTTGACTCCTGACCTTTGAAAGTCCAAAACCTTGGTTGACGAAAGCCCTCACATTTGACCCACTCTTTCAAGGAGCAGTGTGCACCTCGCCGACCCTTGAATCATAGCCTCTAAACCCCTGACCTCGATGATAGAAAGGCCCCAGCCCTAGACACCCGACACTTGATTCTTACAAGTCCCCTAAATCTCCAACCCCTGACCTCCAAAATCCCTCCCAAACCTTGACTATTGACCTTCAAACCCCTAACACCTAACCCCTAAAACCCTCCCCCCATCCTCCGTTTTCTCTCTCTATTTCCTCTAGTTTTTCACAATTTCTAAGCTTAAGTTTTGGATTCGACTGTCCCTGGCTTCTCTTGCTCGAGACCTGCATTAAAAGATTTGCTATCTTCTAGGTTCTTAACAAGCGGTTTCCCATTTAAGTTAGAATCAGGTATAAATCATATTTTCAACTTGAAATTTTAGCTTAATTTTTTCTCTGACATGTTTCCTTGAAACTAAATTGATGCATGTTGATGCTCTCTTTGCACATGTGTTAGCTTTCAGACATATTGCAATGTTTTGGATTCTTAGGAAAGATGTTAGGGTTTTGGGCTTAATAATTAGTTGAATGAGATTTGCGAATTTGGGTAGTTGAGCCCCTCTCAGTTGCTAAGTTTCGTATAAAAATGAGATTGTAAGTATAGGTGGGGAAATGATTGTTGAATATTGCTTGAGCATTTTTGACATTATTTGGCATGTTTATTGCATAAGTGCTTTGTATTTGAAAAGATGTCAATTTAGGTTAAATGTATGTCTTTTTAATTATTAATATTTGGATATTGTGAAATATAGCATAATAAAAATGAGGGATTAAAGTTAAATGTCTAGTTTTTTTTTTTTTTTTAAATGGGTATGTATGATGTATGTAAATGTAATATGTTTAATGCGTGTCTTTTCTTTTATAGTATAACAATTGATAAATCTTGAATAAATAAGTTGAGAAAAATATGTAGAGTTTTAAGGAAATTTTTAGATTTTGCATTTCAGCGTCAATCTATAGGTAGGTATATAACCAAGTGTCCATGTCCAAAAAGTGAAAAACAAGAGTACTTGTCTTGTAACCCTTTCCTAGTGAATTACAAAGTATGGTACTAGTATGGTGAAAAATCCAATGTAATTGAGTTTGGTACTAGTATGGTGAAGAATCCAATGCAACTAACTTTGAGAATTATGAAAGCACACATATCATAGAAACAGAATTTGCATCCCTAGAATGTAACAACAACCATGATTAGTGATGCATTTGGGTTTGCTGGATACACTATTAATATACATGGTGTAGTAACTGGGTCTCTAATAGAGAAAAAACTCTTAATGAAAGGAATAATGAGATATGCAATGAAGAAAATATAGAGTTTTATTTGTTATTTAGAGATGGTAATCAAGAATTACATGAAAAGTGTAGGAAGTATTCGAAATTTGCAAAAATTTTGGGACACTTTCCACTAAATATGAGGTTACAAAGATTGTTCATGAGTCTTAAGACTGCGAAGTTTATAAGATGGCATTTATTGCAAAATAGCCAAGAAGGATTGATGAGGCATCCTAGGGATATTGAGGTATGAAAAACATTCAACTTAATGCACCTTGAATTTGTTGGGGATCCATGAAATGTACGGCTTGACCTAGCTACTGATGATTTCAATCCTATTGAAGCCATAAGTATGAACTGTAGCATTTAGCTAATAATGCTAATTTTGTACAACTCCCCTCCTTCAAAGTGCGTGAAGCAAGCTTTATTTATTTTATCAATAATCATTCTTGGAAAACAAATGCTAGGGAAACAACATAAACGTATACTTACAAGCTCTTATTCAAGAGTTTTAAGAATCATGATATGAGGGAGTATATGTCACACCCCACCTTGAACTCGCCAAGCGAGGCGTGATAGTAGTGTAGTGTCTAACACTCTCTTGTGCCAACACCCATAGAAGAATGCCAAACACTGTAATCCCTGTCTCGTCTAAATCAAGCCAATTTAAATCAAAATACTGCCAAACCAAAATCCATGAACTCTCTTTAGTACAACTAGCCTCACATCAATAGACATAAACAAAACCAAGTATTATCTTAAAATGCGCAATTGACATGCTGGCCCAACCTCTATCTAGCATGAATTGAGTGCTTTGATGTAAGGGATGATATGCTGCAACACATTAGTTAATCCTACTCTGCTATATGGTAATAATAAGATGAGATTACAATCTTAATGAATAGCATCCGTTTAAGTTTAGTAGAAACAGATAGAGTTTATAATCGTACACACACACACACACACACACACACACATATACATAGTTCGTTTAAACATTTCAATATTTAAATCATAAAATAATAAGAATCATTTCGC